TGACATCATAAAAAGGTTTGGATCAAAATGAAAAGCATAAATATTACAAAATATTGTAAGAAGAACACAAATAAGAATAATATTATAATCGCGACAATAAGTTACATCTTACAACAATTTTCAAACTGATGTTCTAATTGTCTCACCTAATTTTAATTTTAATTTTAGATTTGTTCTTTATCAAGAAAGTATAATTTGACTTATTCTTTATTATTGTATTTTAATATTTGTGACAAAAGAGGGAGCCGTCACTATAACCACTTTGAACTGGTTATCTCTATTAGAAATCTTCAGTTTCATTTTCTATTTTCTATTTCTTTCTGTCTGTGTTAACACATAGAAAATGGCGATGAAAACAGTAATATTTTTAGGCATTTACTCAATAGCAATAATGTACTTTAGCATGGGTTCGGTTAAAATTTCCCGAGAAAAAATATTTAAAAGAGATTTGGGAATGACTGCCAAAGAAGACGACGATATTCCTGTTTCAGAATTGAAACATTACGTATCAAAAAATGGCTTAAAATATTCTTTTCGGATACGACAGAAAACGTCCACAAATCAGTACTTTACCCTAACCCAGCCCTTAGCTGTACCTAACCTTTTCCATTACCCCTAACCCTTAGAGGAGATCCTCCTAAGTATAAATCAGTTGCTGTCTTCTTCTGCCTAACCATTTCTCAATCCCAATTTTTGTCTTGAAATTTCTCACTTATGGACGTTTTCTGTCGACCCCGAAAACTTGATAGTTCTTTAGAAGATGAATGGAGAGAAATAATTTCAATGGATATGAATGAAAAATATAAGCTAAAAGTGCTAGATTGCCAAGACAACTACAATATGATTTTTTGCTGTAAAATACAATCAAAGCAACCACAGATTGGTGTGTTTAAATTTCACCGATAAGACACCAAATTTGTTAATTCTTATATCAAGAAAGAAACTACGTCATTAAGACATTGGCTGAACATTTAACAGTGTTTAACCATGACAGTTTGTGTGAAAATTTAAAAGTTGATTAAAATGAAATCATTGAAAAAATTTGATGATCACATATTTTGTTATTCTATTTGAGTATCTTTATAAATTAGATGCTGGACAAAACGTCCACTTTTCTCTATTGTTCTTAAGATTGTTATCTGGAGAAAGGCGTAGGAAATGTCTTAAGAGAATTATCCATGGAATAGAAGATTACTATAAAGGTTAAATACGGAATTACTCTACTCAACATCTTGTATAGGTAAAAAGGTTAAATATATAAAAATTGGCATTAAAAATGGATGTTTACATGCAAAATAACGAATATTCATATACTGAAAAGTGTTTTAAAAAATTTTCAGTACTTTGCTTCAATTCATACAAAATACAGTACTGATACCCTACTTTTGGCCACTGGGCTATTTTCTAAAATAATTAAATTTTTTTTTCTATGGAATATAATATGACATGGAAAATGTCACTATGTAATCAACATATTCAACTAATTAAATTTTTTTATTTTACTCTTTTAATAGCAAAAAAAAGTAAAAAGGTTCATGGGTTAAATATTTTTAAAGACCTGACCTTGTCTCACTTGTTTATACTTGAATTTTTGGATCCAACAATTGTGAAAGAAGAAAAACCTATTGCCTTAAGATGATCAGTGATAACCTAGACTGGTCTAAAGTAATTTTCACCAACAAGGCTAGATTCACACTGAGCGGCCCTGATGACTTCAAAACTTGGACAAATTATGGTGAAAAAGAATTAAGGGTGATGAAGAATATGGGCAGAGGCGGAGTCATGGTATGGGGACTCATAACATCTGATGGAATCTTTGAGATATGGAGGATAAAGAAGAAACTTAATGCTGACAACTATAGCAGTTTTATTGTGGAAGATGTTCTGCCTGTAATAGAAGATATATCAGCTAAAATGGGGAGGCAGTACATCTTCCAGCAAGACAATGCTGGGTGCCATACTGCTAGGACAACTAAAAGAGCCTTTCAAATGAATGGCATCCACCCTCTTGATTGGCCAGCAAAGAGCCCTGACCTCAGTCCTATTGAGAACATGTGGGGTCTCACCAAAAAACTGCTTTATGATGGTCCACAATTGAAATCGGAGGAGGAATTATCAAAGAAAATTAAAAAGTGCTCTTATGAGATTATAAAAAGACAACCAGACTTGATACCAAATTTATACAGGGGAATGGGGCATAGAGTGAGCAAGTGTTTAGAAAAAGAGGGTGGCTACATAGAAAAAAATAGACAAAATATGAACATTAAACCCCCCACTCCAATTATTTTGCAATGTGGCCAAATAAGAAAAAAAATCAATAAAACAATACATTATATAAAACCAAAAAAATTATATAAAAACTTACCCAAATTTTATTTCAAAGATATTCATATATTAGGTACAATCAAAAAATTTCAAGCTCTGTGTTTTTTTTGCAAGAAATCTTTGTGAAATTTTATTAATTTTTCTTTATGTTATAGCCTATAGTCTACTCTAAAAATATTAACAATTGTATTTTCTAATATTCCCCTCCTTTCTCTATGCAAGCCCACCATTTGCTTGGAAGTAGGTTGATACTGTTCTGATAACAGGAGGATGGCTTTCTCCTTAGATAATCTTTGATAATTTTTTTCAATTCTCCTAAATTATCATGATGCACCCCTCTGATATGGTCCTTCAATCTCCCAAAAAGATAATAGTCAAAGGTGGCCAAATCAGGGATGTATGGTGAGTGAGGGCTTAATGACCCCCTTTTGGTCTCCTTTAAAGTCTGTTGTTAACAGACTTGTATGTTGTCTTGCATTATTGTGCTGTAAAATTATTTGTTTTCCAGGTCTGATTCTATGTAATCTCTTTCTCAGCCTCTTTAGGGGTCTCAATATATTGTATGGAGTTGAAAACTTCTCCATACTCCATAAATTCCATATGAACTAAGCCTTAATGGTACCAGAACTCTGCTCTTTTCTGTTACAGATGTCTTTGGACAACCACAACTTGGCAAGTCTTCATAAATTTTTCTTCCCTTTTTTATGTCAGATACCCACCTTCTTATAGAACATTCACTCAGAGTTTCATCTCCAAAAAAGCTCTTTAACCTATATAAATGTTCCTTGGAGAGACCTTCTCATGCACAAAAAATGCAATGATATTTCATTGAATGGAATGTATGGACATGACATGTGGTTGCTTACATGAAAATAAAATTGAAATGGCTTGACAGAATTGAATGAAAGTTTACACAGTGATAGTTTACTAATTCACTAAGATTATTGGAAAATATCAGTGGGATTAGTTAAGTTGTTTTAAAATTATAGCACAGAGCTTGAAATTTTTCGATCATACCTAATATATATGGATGTGGTAGAAAACGGCCATAAATCTATGGTTTTACCCTAAACCTAACCCAGCCCTTGTTTTTGCCTAACCTTTTTGAATACCCCTAACCCTTAGATGGGACCCTCCTAAGAACATATCAACAGTTATCTTATTCCTCCTAACCATTTCCCAGGCTGAAATCTAACTTTCAAATATTTCATTTATGGCCGTTTTCGACCGGTCCCAATATATATCTATGTTTAATCTAGTAATTAAGACAAAAAAAAAAAATCTTTTTTCCCTGTGAAAAAGATTTTTATTGTTCGGCGTATCAAAATTTAGGGGGCACCAATATTTTTGCGGACTACTTTATACAATATAGCTGTTAATACTTTTGAAATATTATCATCCCAATTATGATATAGAAGAGGATAATCATAATGTTATATCTTCAGTTGTTTCGTTCATTTTAAGATATAGCTTATATGAATTATGACTACCAACTGTAAAAAAATACTTTGCAGTATAAGCATAAATTGCTTTATGTTGGTTTAACTAACTAAAAAGTTTGGTGAACTCTTTACAAAATACTAGAAAAATCCCTTCACAATTTTCAAGAATATGAAAGTGTTTATTTAGTGTCTAATATTCAATTTCTTTCTTCCAACATCATCTTTTAATTTCTGAACTATCGTTAATCTATAGTAACATCCATCTACTTGGTAATCTAACTACATAGGAAACAAATTTTGTAAGAATTGAGTAATTATTTTTTATATACAGAACATTTTCAATCTGCGTGTCTTATTTGAACAAAAAAGAAGAGGATGTATAAGAGCAAATAAGAGGAGGCTGTAATAAAACGCCCACACTGTCTAAAATTGAGTTTTGTTTGAAACACTAAAAAAAGGGTTAGGAAGATTTTTGAAAAGTTTAGGCAAGACTTACATTTACGGTTTGAAAAATTACACATAACATTTGGGTTAGGATTAGGGTTAGAGTAAGAAATATAAAAGTGTCTTTAAATGCTATTATCATTAAATTTCTCTCTGTTCAATAAACCTATATGATCATCTTAATATTTTTTCTACAAAACTAACAAAGAGTCGTTAAAAATCGTAGATAAATCGAAATGTCTGCTCTTTAGTGTAAATTAAAGAAATTCCTGTAAAAAATTTTTCTAAAATTAGGCAAACACCAAAACAAAGCTTAATCAACTAGTAGATGATTGAATAGATACAATACAATGAAAGCATAATATAATTTTAGTATAATATGGTTCTCTTTTTAAAGTGAAGGATCAGGAACACAGGTTTTATAGCGCATAATACGAATATCAATGAATAATTAATTAATGATATTATACTTCTAAAGCAAGTAAAAATTTGCCTATACATTAAAAACTTCTTGATCTATACTATACAGCCAAAGTATTTCATTCAAACTTGTATGAAAAAATATAGTTATTGACATCATTATTGAATTATCTTGAATCTAAAGATTCAATTTCGCTCAATTTCTATGGTTTACATATAACTGAACAGTTAACTATATACATATGGATATTGAGGATATAAATCAATCTCTAAAGATTGCCCTATTCTACTTTAAAGAAAGGAAGCTGTAAACCATCTAGAAATGTTGAAAAGTTCGGTTTTTATGTATTATTTGATAATAATTTCTAAAATGTACTCATTGTATGCAACAGATCTAAAATTTACAGGTATCTATTGATGATCGTTCATGTTATTCTTTCTCTTTTATAATCTTCCTAACAGATGGAAAACTTATAAATATTGCCAACAGCAAACACCATTCGGCGAAATGTACAGCAAAATCAGAATATGACAATTATTGGAATTGTTTCAATGCTTTGGAACCTAGGTGGCAAAACTGGAAAGGTTGGGCCTCCAAATGTGCTTTTGCAGACTGTGCAAAGCAGTGGATTAAAATAATTTTCAAAAAGAGATATGATATTATCGATATTTGCATGAATCAGAGAAACCATGATAATTTTAAGAAGCCTGCAACAACAAATTTATATTTTGATAATGGACAAGAATTAATAGCTATATTAAATCCACATACGACTTGTATCCTACTGCCAGAAACCATTGGCAAAGCTGTTTTAGCTATAAGATTTCAAGCCGGTAATGAAAACCCCACAATGAGGAATATTGGATTTAATTCAATACTTGTATTTGCTTATGATGGTAAGTACTGCTTGCTTACTTGTAATCTTTATACCTATGATTGATAAATCTTCTTCAGATGAAGTAGTTAAAGATGATCTTTTATACACAAATGTAGCTTTTCATAGTTTAGGGGCAACTTGTACGTCATCCCTGGGAATATGCTTAAATGCAATTAATCAACATCTTATTAAAGGTTGGGTAGTGACCTGTCCATTAGTTAATGGTACTGGACAATGCCAAGGACAATACATAAATATAACTTTAGCATTTCCAACAAAGCCAGAATTTGGATGCCTTTCCGTAACGTAATGAAGGAATTTTCTTTATTTTATTAAATGATTTATTAAGATGTAGCCAAATTTTTCAATAGATGGCGTTCAGATTATAAGATAAATCTTTTGTCATTACTATGGAGCTCCGGTCATACGCAAACAATCCATTTTCAAGAGGCTGAAGACACAGTTTGCTTCATATATTCTGGAAATTCTAGTATTGAATATTGGGCTCATTTTACAGTTATAGAAGGATATTCAAATGAAAAGATTTCCTTATATTTTATAGATATTTTCGCAAAAAGTAAGAAAAATATAAATTGTTTTTTTAACTGAAAATACTTCGTTTATTTATAGAAACTGACGAGAAAATTTATAGCGTTCAGAGCACAACTTTTGCTTCGTATTACCTACCTAAACAATTATATAATAACTTTACAGAATTCAGTTTCCAAGTTCAAGGTCAAAGTATGGGTGGAGATGACACTAATTGTTCATCCTTAGTCATTCGCTTCGTCAACAAATTTGAAACATATTTTATATTAAGACTAGATAATATTGAAAATAAAACTGAAATTTCCTATATTAGATTATTAAACTATAATAAAACTACAGTAAAATTCAATGCTTCACAATCACTGATTGATTGCGGTAAATGGAATAATTATTGGCTTGAATTTGCAGTTGGACAAATAAAATTTGGTTTTGGGAGACCAACTGCAACTTCAATATCATATATTACAGTTCAAACAGACTACTTTAAAGATGTAGACGAAATCTTATTCAGAAATCGTTGGAGTTATTTAATAAATAATGTTAAAGTAAACCACAAAGGTATGTTTTCCATCCATTTACTTTTCAACATAAAAAATATGTTTATGCCTTAATTCAGATGGTAGAAAAGTTATTATTCTAAATACTACTCAACACCAATTTTGTGCACTTTATAACTTTTTTGATGAATTTATATATCCTTGCATTCTATTTCAATCAGAGTCATCTATCCAATTGACAAAGAAAACAAATCACTCATTAATGATTAATCTTTTTCGTCCGAAAGTCTATATAAGTAAAGAATTTTCAACAGACGAAAATGTTATTAAAACATGGCCAAATTCTTTAAATTATAATAATTCGAATAATTCAAAAAGAATTTGTTCAAAATATTTAAAAATTGAAAATTTCAAAACAATAAGTTTTATTTGTAAAGGAATTTTCAACACTGAAAGTGAAAGTTTTATATTGGATTTTGTACTTAGAAGAGTGGAAAACTTGACAGAAAATTTGTTGTGTAGTTTGTATTCTTCAGAAATATAAAAATCTTTCAATTGTCAAATGTTTCTATTCATATGACTTAAATAATTTTTAAAAATTTATCAATTTCTCTAGGGCCTATTTTGTGGATGAGTGAATGAGCGGGGAAGGGGTTAAAAAGAAACCTACCATTAATCAAAAGTATAATCAATATCAGTTTTGTTCAAAATTCTTGAATAGTCAAAAAGTTTTATTTTGAGTGTTTTACCACTCATACAATAGACTATAAAGTTAAGGATATGATTTAAATGAACATATTTAATTAATATCAGAGACATTAAAATTCCATTAACATTTGAAAGACAATGAAAACACCAGTCGATACAATTATTGGAAAAGTTGTCAGAATGCCAAATGTCGGTAATGACAACGTATTACCAAAAACGTAATCACATGTCAATCGACGTGATTAGATAATTATGAGATGTGATCACGTTGCTCCTAACGTGAAACATAACTGTTATACTACATAAACACAGTAGATATCACCCTTAATCATATTGATACATCAATTATTTGAGATGAAGTATTATTCAACTTGAAACGATAAAATTCGATGATGATAAAACCAAATTATATCTAAATATAGTCATTTCACGTTAATTTACTCGTTAAAATCGTTGTGACTGACGAAAAAACTAAAAATTATAGCTAGTAACAACGCAATTGTTTGAAAAAATTCAGTTGTTATACAACTAATTCTTGCATATTTCAATTGTGTTACATTTTTCAATGTTCCATTCATGTGCTAACTCTCCAACTTTGGAAGTGACTTACTGTAATAGACACCATTTTATAGGTGATTTTTTTATTATTATATTAGGTCAACAACAAGGTTATGATATTTTTAAATTAACACACCTCAAGCATATCGCATGTGTTTGTTTGACATTCTCTAGTTTTGTTTACACCTGGAGATTAAATATACACGTAGAACTAGTGACGTGCTGATATGTAGAAATTAGAATGGTACACTTTTAGAGGACTTGTATTTTTGAGGGAATTAGAAATTCAATCAATAATTTTCATTCAAATTACTCATTTGTGTTTTTACCTTTAATTAAAATTTGTATCTTTTTCAAATCTCAATACCTTCGCTATCCAGATATTAAAATATCTCTAAACGCAAACTTTACAGTTTCTATTGAAATAGCAAAGACAAGATTATAAGAAGAAGAAAAAGAAGAAAGTAAATTTGCGCAATCTTGAAAAATGAAGCGACATTCTTTTATTTTGATGAATTGGTAGCTTGACAAAATCATTTAAATTTCCTTAACAAATCTTGCTACATTTAAAAGCTGTTTTCAACAATTATTATAAACTATGTAGTTTGAATAGTAATTTGTGCAACTGTGTTATCTACATGTTTATTTATTAACAGTCTGCAAGTTTATAAATTAATTAAAATTAAAAATTTAATTTTTAAACTAGGAGCATAGCTCAAAGTAATAGAAAACCCATTTAAAGATGCTAACCAAAGGAAAAAAAACTATGGAGTAAAGAATTATTTTCAAAGTTTTTCTTAAAATTCTCCCAATGAAATAAATATTATTAATTAAATAAGGGGGCTTTAAGAAAACGTCTATAATACATTTAGTATTAGAAAATAGTTTCACTCGTTAAAAGCTAAATGTTATTAGGCTTACATCAGAATAGATTCACAAAGCTCATATTTATAGTACATCTTCAGATAATTCAATTAACATTGAAGTACTATCTAAAAGCAAGCATTTAGAAATGGTTAGGCCTAGACAACTATTTAAGTTCAGGTAAAGCAAGTCAAACGTCATGTACAAAATGAAGTGGAAATAAAGGTAGACGATATCACAGCACTTGCACAGGAAGCAGGTACTGCACCAGCCAATATTTTTATGGAGAAAAATCTGTATGTAAACAAGTTGTATGTTCAAGTACTCATAGAAAGTTTTTTATTTAATTCATCTTTTTCTACTGATTGTGTTTCAAAAGCGATTGCTCAAATTTATGATATTATAGATTTAAGAGTAAGTAAGAGTGGCTGCACTAGATCTACAAAATAGTTTTAATTAATTGTCATCTTTCTTTAGAATACTTCCAAAATTTCATTCAAAACATCATCAAAGAAGAATTTTTTATCATTTTGCTTTTGATATTGAGTATTTATACTTTTCAACAAGTAAAAAGATAACATCTGTAATACAGCCACGTCTTTTCACGCATAAAGCTGATGCTACACAGCAGCTATGAAGTAATACAAGAGAAGCTTTATGATGAAGAATATGTATATACTGTCAAAAGTCTTTGTCACACACTCGAAAATTTATATTTTTGATTTCTTTTTTAAAAATTTTAGCTCCTACAGCTCCTCCATATTTTTAGGCTCCCATGGCCCGAACTCAATCTTCCATTCTTCAGATTATATTTAGTATATTTTGAAAATTAGTGTTTTCCCAAAACATCAGCTGAAGCTTCTTTTGCTAATCTTATTTTTAATATTAATATTTAAACCATCTAATACTGTATGTTTATTTGTATCTATTTCTTAAGTATTTAATAATTCTTGTAACTTGTAATTATCTATTCCTTCTAAAAACCTGATATACGATTACAATATCAAAAGTGAAAATTAATTTCACTATATGTTTAAATTCCAAGTTTGTAGAATGGTATGTGAAATTATTTAAATTTATGCAAACTAATTTTTATCAAAACTACGTATTCAACATTTCAGGAGTGATTTCCTATAAGTATTCAATTCTATAAGAAAAAAGTCCTATCGATAGAGGTAATTATTTAAAAAGAAAATTCAATATATCTGAACATAAGCACCTAAATAGCGTTGAAGAAAGAATTATTGACCTCTTTGTTTTGGATATCACCAAATAATTCTTTATTTACTAGGCCTATTGAACAAATAATAGTTTTGAACAAGTTTTGAATATGTACTTGTTTTAACTTCGGAATAGTTTTGAATTTGTTAAATGAGAGCAAGAATGTTTATTCAATATTTAATAATAATTTAATCAGGGGAATATCATGAGGCCTAGTCATTTACAATTGATAGAAAATTTAATCATTCAGCCCCGGCTAAAATTGGTTTAGACTTCAGTCTGAGTAGAAATTTAAAAAGTTCAAGATCTTCAGACGAATGTGACAAGATAAATTTATCTAGACAGTTTATTCTATCATCTAACTCTGAAATATAAATATCATTAAATATTGATAAAATGATTTTTACAAAAAACCTCTAAATTTATTCATATTGTTAAGAGATTCAAGTGTCAAATTTTCATTGAATTTGTAATTCTTTGACAACATTCTAGAGAAAATTTTAGTGATATATTGTAATAAATCATCATCTTTTGCAATATTCAACTTTGGATTAATCTTCACGGAAAATAAGAACTCGTTTAATGTTGTAATAAACATATTTAATACAAAAAAAATCATTATAGAAGTATATAATATAATATAGATTTTAGCTATAAGACCGCCATTTTGAGATAATATTTCAAAATTTAAATGAGCAAAAATAGTTACAAGAAGTGAGTAGCACGAATATTTAAAGCTTTTATATTTATATGTAAATGTTCCGAGGCTAATGTAGCACCAACAAGCATAAGCAATAATAATGATAGAACAACAAAATGCCAATGACGTTAACTCTCCACTTGACTTCTTAATTACAGTCAAAAGAATTGATACTGTTCTTGATAGTTTTAATAGGGTTAATGTATAAAGTTG